ATGTCTGTAATGTTGTATTTATTAATTGCATGTGTATATAATTTATGAATGATTTTTCTTTTTAATTTACTTTTTTAATTGTATTCTTTTTATTTTTTCAACAGAACAAAGGCTTCAAGACAGGCCCGTGTCATAGGAAGTGATCAGGTACAAAGTAACATTGAGTAACTTAAATTTTAAGTTAAATATTGCCAGTTGTTTTGTCCACAACATCAAAAATTGTTCCAAATAAAGTCACAGCAGAACTGACCGTTGCACGTCTGTGTCTCAAACCATAGCTGTTTGATTCCTGAATGAATCAGTGTTTTTGAACCATTCAATTGAGTGAATGATTCAGTGACATAATCATTACAAAAATAAAAATTGTTCCTGAATGGATCTGTGTATATGAACAAATCGACGGAGAAAAGACAGCAAACAGTCAGACTGAACATTGTTGTAAATTGTAAATTGTTTGTATAAAAGTAAATTGTTTTCTGCTAATCTTCTAAAGACTAATTCATGTCACTCACTGTATGATCTCCTCAAACAACGCTTCTTTTAAAGCAGAAGGAAAGTGATTTAAAAACAGTAATTTTAAAATTTCTCCCACTCAGGCTGAGGATAAAAACAGAGACACGATGGCTCTCTATGCTAACAATGCCACTGTGATCAGCAAGAATGGCGAGAAGAAAGAAACTGATGATCTCCACTATGGTGAAATTGACTTCTCCAAACTCCAGACGGGCCACAAGACAAAGGAACACTCAAACAATGGCCCAGAGACAGAGTATGCTGAGCTTCAAGTGATAGAGAGAAAGAGACAAATCAACGGTGCTCAGCAAATGGACAAACTTTATGCTCAAGTTCAGAAAAAGTGATTTTTGCTCATGTTAAATCTTGCTCTTGTGCAGGGGCCACGGACAGTCACCAGTTTTCACAAATCTCAATATAACATCTCTTTCGACTGGTGTAACATTGTCTATACTGTAAATAATGAAATAATATTCTATACTCCAGCAACTCCAAGGAATATAACTAGAATAATATGAAATGCTCTTAAATATATTGATAATCTACATGCTGGTTACTTGATATAAGATGTAAATATTTATGTAAATAAAATATTAAAGGGGTCTCTTTGTGTGTTTTTTTTTTTTTACATTTTCAACTTCCTTTGGTGTTTAATGTACATGAAAAAGATCTGCAAAGTTAAACAAACGAATTAATAAAATAAGAGGAGACAAGTTCTTGTTGAGTTGCATCAGTAGTGTGTTGTCGCCACGTCCAAGAGACGCTGTTTCACAGATCTAATATACTAATATATGTTCACAGGCATAACTGACTGATTAGTTCACTTCCAGAAAAAAATTTCTGTCATTTACTCACCATCCACTTGTTCCAGATCTGTATGAGTTTCTTTCTTCTGTTGAAAACAAAAGAAGACATTTTGAAAAATGTTGGTATTCGAACAGTTGATGAGCACCATTGACTTACATACTTAAGTATACTTACTAAAATAAACTTGAAGTATACTACTTTTTGGTAAGGGTAGCCTTTCTTCAATTTCATCATAGCTTACATCTGGGGGTTTTGCAGCACAAAATAAGCACAAGAGTCTCTGTGTGGTGAGCGCTATAGATTTTGCCATAGTAGCCTAAAGATGTATAGATGTGGTCAGTGCTATAATGTAGATTTGAATTGTTTCAGTATACACTCAGGAATATCTAAAATTACATTAAATGCCATTATATAAGTTGTTATGTTTTCCATCATCTTTTCTATGCTCACAGCTCTCATTTCTATTGTATTATTGAGTTTAGATTATTTCTAAAATTCCTAACATTTTTTCATTGGATGGCTCTGAGATCGATTTTGTTGAAAGCTACAAATATCTTGGTATCTGGCTCGATAGCAAATTGTCATTTGAAACTCACATAAATGTACTGCTCAGAAAGGTTAAAACTTGTATTGGTTTTCTTTATCGTAACAAATCTTCTTTTACACATTCTTCAAAACAGCTTTTGGTTAAAATGACAGTGCTTCATATTTTGGATTATGGTGATGTAGTTTACAGGTCTGCTTCAAAAACTCTCCTTCATAAAGTGGTTATTTACCACTCTGCAATCCGCTTTGTGACTGAAGCTTCATTTTACACTCACCACATTTGTACACACACAGCAGATGCTTTCCAGATCAAGAGATGTTTAACAGACATCTTGCAGACGTACGTGTTCTTTAATTCGCGAAATTAATGTTTGATCTAATTTACAAGGACGTGTGGACATAAAAAGACATTCCTCAAAATCTCTTCCCCCCACCCCTTTTTTTTCCCTTTAACAGAGAAACACCAAATGTAAATATTTTGCCTCATTTATAATATTCATTTTGCAACATCATATTGTCAAATCAGACAAAAGTAAACTGCCGAAATCTAAAATGGCAATATCAGTCATTGGTTCTTGTGTGTATTGTGACCAAATATCATAATTTCATTAAGAATGAATGGTGAGTTTTGATGATGTTGATTTGAGTCGCTCGAATTGGATTTGAGTGCTGGATTCATTTAATTAATTTGAACAGAACTTTTTTCAATATACTCAAACTCTACTGAGTGAGTTAAATTGTTCATCATTCAAAGTGATTTTGACACACACATTTTTTTCTCATCATTTTAAATCTTTTTTTAAGCATTAAAGTGTGTTTTGTGTTCAGCAAAACTGAGTAGTATAGGTTTGGAATTACATTTTTGATTGAACTATTCCTTTACTATTGTTACAGATGGTTCATGCTGGCTTAAAGCAGCACTATGTAACTTTTGCCGCTCTAGCGGTTAATAAACAGAACTGCACACATCCCGCGGAAGAACATTCCAACCGGAGCTACTTCTTTAAGTTTATGTCTATGGCGATTCACGCCGGTATGTGTTACTCCGCAGCGGCGACGACCCGACCAGGCTACAATAGTCCAAATATAAGTACTTATTATAAGTGTACCGTAGTGATACGGAATAAGACAAAAACGCGGTTTGGAAGATGAATTCATGATGTACTCGCTCATTATATACATTTTGCAAATTTTGAACACAGAAAAAGTTACATAGTGCTGCTTTAACAGAAAAATCAAAAGGAGCTGATGTGCTTGAAGAGTATAAAGCCACCAATACATTGTCATGTGCGATGAAAAGAGCTCTTGTTAACATTGCTATAGCACACATAACAGAGAGACATGGGTAAAGCCACAATTCCATGTTTAAGATTATTGATTGTCATACTTAATATTTTTGATTTTAAATTAAGAGTCTGACCTCTTTCTAAAAAAATGTGTAATTTGTCAAATGTTTATAGTATGCTTGCACTGTCGTTTATGTGCTGTCCCGTACATGCAGAGATCATGCACTTGGAATTATGACCATTTCTGTCATTAAAAGACTATTTTCCAGTAAGATGTTTTTTTACAAAATATATATTTACAGTGAATTAAATGTTTTCCTTAAACAGATTGTTCACCTGAATTGTCATTTACTTATACTCATGTTGTTCCACAGACACCATGTATGAAGGCACTTCTTTGGATTATTAAAAACATATATTTTTTGTGTTCCTCAGAAGACAGAAGGTCATACTGAAACAACATGAGGGTAAATAAATGATGACAGTGTTTTCAGTTTTGGATTAACTATTCTTGTATCGAAATTGATACTTGACAAACATGTCCATATGTGTATATTATACATTATATACACATAATGTATATAAAATATAAGTATATATAACAATATAAGTAAATTCATTTTATACAAAAATAATAAAAAGAATACACACACAAACAAACAAATGTAAAGTGGATTTATATTAAAATCATATAAAATTTAAATATTATAAAGAAATATGTAATTAAGTAGTTTTGTTTGTTTGTTTGTTAATACTTGACTCTGACATTTCACGTGTTGATAGTTTTGATATATGGATGTGAAATGGTCCTGTTTTAAACATTTTACAGGAGCACTTTTGTGATGCTGCAAGTGGGAGTGGAAATCTTGCTTGCCTGAAAACTGCAGAGAAATGCATCTCGTCATGCTGAAAACAGAATGAGACTAATACTCTCCAAGGAGGTCCAAACACCATTAGCAAAGACTTTGTTCAGTGAGCATTAACATGCATTCAGAGTTGAATAAGAGAGTAATGATACTGTTGTTTAAGCTGATAAATGTAAGCATTTTAAACTTATAACATTCAGAGCATGTAGTTTGTGGTGTTTTGCTTTGACAGTATGATGTTGTTGTAAGAACATGTTGTTACATGTATTGAAAGCATTCAATGTGAAGTCATTTTGGTGCAGGGAAAAAGATTTACAATGTTTACAATGTACAAAAATTAAATGTAAAGTCAAGAGTTATGTTAAGAGTAATGTTTTTAGGAATTATCAAATGAACATTGTTAGTTATTTAAATTTAAGGTAGTGTTATTTTACTCTGAAGAGTTAGATTAACTCCACGAGGGTTAAATGTTGAACTCAGAGGCTTTTATTAACACTTTCAAAAGTTTCAAAAGTCTTTGATTATTTTAATGTCATCATAACCAGCACCTGATTTAAAAGGCTGTGTTCAATCTAATGCACAGATCTGTTTGGAATGTTTTTACCATCTGTTTATAATCAGACAGAACTGACTTTGTGTATTGTTGTATTTTTGCATGATTTTTTGTGAATATTTTGGACAATAAGTGAATACATTGCACACAAATAGTTTTTGCACAATTTATTTGTTTTACTTATTTGTTTATGCATTGCACTATTTATTTATATATTTTATTGCACTAGAGATTTTTAAAAAAGGATTATATTTACTTCTTTTTGGACTGATTTGCACCTGGAACATTTGATTTTTTCCAGTGTTAGATCTGCATTCCTTGTCCTTTGCTAGGCCCATAATAATTATGTGTAGGGCTCCCTATTATTATTATTATTATTTATTTTGCACCATAGATAAATTACATTTAGATGTTTAGTAGGAAAATAGATTAAACGGGTATTACAGTATTGCAGTGAGCTCTGTGTATGGCTAAGGCAAAAAGGCCAATACCCAGCCAGGTTCCTGGGCTGCTCAACGATGTTGTGAAAAAACTTTTCACAGCATTAGCAAGCCTTCTTCCCCGTGACTCAGTGGGTTCAGTTTCATCAGCATAAATGTCACGGAAACCTCTTTCATCGTCTCTAGATAGCACCTTAACAGTCATATCTTTGGCCCACATGATGTTCATTGGTTTCCCCATGAGCTCTGAAAATGTAAGAGCCTTCAGGGCCTTTTCTGCATCATGGCGGCGTTTAAAAATAACAAAACCATACCCGCGGGACAGGTTGGTTCTTATATCTCTGCACACTTTCACAGTACAGATGGGTCCGAACGGGAAGAATAATGCATGCAAATCCTGTTCTGTCACATTTGGGTGCAGATCATTCACAATCAGTGACACTTGTGGATTAGAGCTGCTCTCCTTTTCTTTGGATTCGCCGCTCCTGTCGCAGCCCTCTCTGCACTTCATGATTTCCCCGAAGTTTGAAACTGCATCATATATAGCTGGCCTGTCACTAGGCCTTGCTAGGACATTAATAGTTATGTGTTGGGCCCATGTGATGCACATTGGTTTGCCCATGAGCTCCAAAAAATTCAGAGCCTCTAGGGCATTTTCTGCATGCTGGCGGTGTTCAAAGGTCACAAAACCATACCCACGAGACCGGTTGGTTATTGTGTTTCTGCACACTCGCACAGAACAGATCGGTCCAAATGGGCTGAATATTGCATGCAACAATTGTTCGGTCACATCTGGGTGCAAATCACTGACAAGCAATGATGACCCATGGTCATTTGGTTCTTGGCTGCCCTCACCTGAAGTCCAATTGTAGGACGTTGCCATTTTTGATTGTTCTTTTAAGAATATTCTTAGCAAAAAGCTCTTTGTACAAAGCACAGTTGCTGTGTAGAATTCACAAATCACAACTGATTCCAAGAAGGGATGAAACCTTAGTCAGATCAAGCTTATGATATGAACTGACTGCAAAGTGATTGACTGCTAAATTTAGACTGCTAAATGACTAAATGTAAATGTAAATGTAAATGTAAAGTCCCTTTTGACTGACTGACAGCTTTCTTCTTTAAGGCCCGAACGTTCTAAATTCCTGATGACGTCACAACACCGTCACGTGACATCTAATGTTGATTTTTAAAAAAAAAATTTTAGTCATCCCCCACAGTATCGGATAAGATACAAATAATAAGACATATAATTCCGGTCCTAGATGATTATTGATCAATAGCCGTGTTTTATTTATAAAGCCCGGCTATGATGACCGAACATATTTTTGTATCACTGCGCGACTGCCATTAGCAACCATCCGTAGCAACATCACGTTTTTTTTTTTTTATTGATATATTGTTATTCTTGTTACATGCGCATGCATATCAAAAATTGTTCCACGTAATAGATATCTCAGCAAAATTACCTGTGCATTAATCATTTAATTGGGTAGGAGTGACCCCTGCTGGCAAAGAACGTCTGGAAGCTCACCGTTGCCGAAGTGCTCATTTTTTATTATTTAAAGTTAAATGTTTTTGTGATTCAGGTATTATACTGTATGTTCATAGACTTATAATGTTTAATGTTATGCTGACTCGCGAAAACCAGTCTAGTTTAAACTGAAAGGACCGAAACGACCGTTTTCTCATGCTGAATGATAAGCAGATGAAATATCATGTTTAAAAAAACAACACAGAGCGTGAAGAAAGTTCCTAGTCTGTTTTATTTTAGGTTCATCATCGGGCTATCTATCCTATTTGTTCTCCTTTTAAGATTGCTATTTTATACTTTATTATACAATAAGGTATATACATAAATAAACACATAAATAAATGTTAATGTTATGTTGCTTCCTTTGTCCTCATTTGTAAGTCGCTATGGATAAAAGCGTCTGCTAAATGACTAAATGTAAATGTAATGTTGAAGTTAATATTAAGTACGTTATAGACACAATATTGTCAATATTTGCTCTATTTCGCCAACCATTGCGTTCACGTTAGTGTTTCCTTCCTGAATGATTAATCACTTTTGTAAGAAATCAAGTGATGATTTAATAAGCCATTCATAAAGACGGTTGTTAAAATTAAAGTTGTGTACTAGTATACTATTTTCGCATATCTTTTTATGACAGAAATATTAAGAGTACTATGCTTGTAGGCTGTTCCGAAATCAAAAAATCACTTGCTTCATTATAGAATTTATATGAATGATGACACATCTTTTTTTACTATGGTTAGAAAATTTGACCTTATTAAGTAAAAAGGGCCCCTGGAAATCTATATTGGAAAAGTTATTTTCTGTCACTGTCAAGGACTATTTTTGTTCTTTATAGCATTTATAGCATATAGCATTATTACAAAAATCGAATTGTAAAATATTATTACATACTTTTGCTTTTAATATTTGTATTTTGTGTTAATCATTCTATAAATGTATCTTGTGATGGTATCATGCATATATAAATATATATATATATATATGGTATCATGCACATAGATAGCAATGTGCTGAATCGTCTGCTTGCGTGCTCGTGTCCATCTGCTTTTAATTCACATGCACTTTGCACTTTTTGCACGATGCAATTCATAAAATAAAAAAGATGTTTTTGTAGACTTTTCCAGTCTCGAGTGGATCAGTGTGCGGTTAGCCACCCTCTTGTTCATTTTCAATCATGCATATATAACTCAGGAAGTCTCTTCATTGATTCAGACCTATAAAGTATTTGTGTATGTTGCTAACAACCACTGATCTAATGATGTGAAATACCACAAAACACACATTTAAATTCAAATTCACTCTTGTATTATTTTGTATTTCAGGACAGGGTGGACCCGTGATTGCTGGCTGTGTAGGAGTTTTGCTCTAGGTAAATTTAGATTTCTTTTGCATCATAGTGTACATCTGGGGGTTTTGCAGCACACTAGCTACAGAAAAATAAGCACAAAGGTGTTTCTTTGTGGTGAGTGCTGTAGAATTTGCCATAGCATAGGTAGTAAAGACCTATAGATGCAGTCACTGTAATAATGAAGATTTGAATAGTTTAAGAATACACCCAGGAATAGTAAAAATTACATTAAATGCCAGATATGTTTTCCATTATCCTTTCTATGCTCACAGCTCTGATATTCACTGTAAAGTTTACATTCACACTTAATCTTATGTGATAATGTCCTGTTCAAAACAGAATGGATGTTGTAAACGTGAGATTTATGGCATATTGTATGAAGTAAAGAGATAACTGCAGTATCAGTATAATCTTTGTTTATGAATGACAGTTTATTACATCTGATGTTATGTAAGAAATCAGAGTGACATAAAGTTTGGTTTAGAGTTGTATTTATTCAGTCAGCTCATGTAAAAACATGCACACATTCAATGACTGAGACTTGTCTGTGTTCTTTGGTCCGGAAAGCTCAACCCAAGCTCAACCTGATTCATGTCAATCAAATTCCACTGATAAAAGGCAAAATCGTTAGAAATAAAACTTCAGCTTTCATTAGGTGAGTAAAAAATTATCGTATTGGTGCTCTCCTTGAAGACATGTCTAATATCTTTGCTCAAAATCAACAGATATTAGGTAGTGTACTCTTAAACTATATATATTTTGAAGATGCTGTGGTTTAAATTCATAATGTGGTCTTGTTTTAGTCAAATAATCTAAAAGGCATTTTGGGACATAGTTTATAACATTAAATAGAGTTTTTAGCTTCTACTGTAAGATCAAATAAGGCACCTAGGTATTGATAACACTGATGGCATCTTGTGAACTTTTTGGTTTTGTGTTTCTCAGGTGCAGCATCCACTGCAGTGCAACAGTCACATTAAAACAGTTACCTCCACCTCAACCCATCCTATTCTTCACATCTGCTCAACATCAATGTAATGTAGTGTCTGTTCAATCCCTCACTCGCTCCTCCAGCGCCCTCAGCTCTCCTTCCACTTGTGCGGGCAGATCAGCTCCAACCTGCTGGGTGAAGTAGGTCCGAAGCTCCTGTGTTTCCTTCTGCCAGAAGGGTTTGGGCAGGTCAAAGAGGGCACCCATATCGATATTTCCACCTAGGCCTTCTGTGTTTATGGCACCGTTTTGTGGAATCCATCCCACAATGCTTTTTGTGGCAGCCTCGTCTTCACTGGTACGGCCGCATCGTTTGAAGATCCACTCGAGGACGCGGGCGTTCTCTCCAAACCCTGGCCACAAGAAAGAGCCGGTCTTCTGATCTTTCCGGAACCAGTTGACGTGGAAGATCTTGGGGAGTTGGGTCTGGCCCTTGCGCGTCTCCATACTCAACCAGTGGGCCAAGTAGTCACCGAAGTTGTAACCAAAGAAAGGACGCATGGCGAAGGGGTCATGCATGATTACTTTACCTAAAGAAAATGAGCCATATATTATAATGTGTAAATATCAGTATGAGCTTTTTGCTCAGTTTGTCAGTAAGTGCTTAAAAGTAGTGTACACTTTTGTGTACTGTTTACCATATGGAGAAATTTAAATTTGTACCTTTGTGTTCAGCAGCAGCTGTGGATTCAGATCTCATGGCTGCACCCACAAACACACCGTGACGCCAGTTAAATGACTCGTACACCAAAGGCACACCTGGGAAAAAAGACAGGTACATTTTAAGGTATAATGTATAACATATGTCTATGTATATATACAGTACTGTTAGAAAGTTCGAGGTCAGTAAGCTTTCTTAAATATTTTCAACGTCTCTTATGTTCACCAAGGGTGCATTTATTTGATGGAAAATGCAGTAATAATGGCATTATTGTGAAATATTATTACAGTATAACTGCTTTTTGTTTTAATATATTCAAAATGTAATTCATTCCTGTGATGGCAAAGCACAGCATTTATGTGAAATAATTTTTTTTTGTAAATTTATAGATGTTTTAACTGTAACCTTTGATTTAATGCATCCTTACTGTTTACACCAAGAATGATAACTATGACGATAACGAGCAATAAATAATGATAAATAGCATCCACACCAATATAATGATGCTCTGCAGTTTGTCAACTGCCACTTTAAATGCCTGAGCTCCTTAAAGCAGGATGGATTCTGATTGGCTGTCAATGTTATCATTCATCAGCAGGAAAAAAATTGTTATTTTAAAAGTGATTCCAATGATATCTTTCCTTTGTGCCAGTGCTATTCTTTTAAATTTAGAAAGATTTTAAAACTATATTTTTAGCATTATTGTTATAGTTATTGTCCTTGGTATGAAACAGTGTTAGTATCAAGATACTATTCTAGTTTTTATTAATATTTTGAAAAAGGTTTTTATATTTTATATTTTGTATTTTCCACTTGTTGTGTGTTTATTTTATTTCAGGTAACAAACATGTTTTTTTTTTAATGGTTTTAGTTAATTGTAAATGGGCCTTAAAAGTATTCATTTCTTACATAATATGTGCATTTTAAATATACAGTTTTGATTCAGTGAGACTACCCACCTTCTGGTCTTCTTCCACCAAATACAATGGCATCAATGGGGACGCCCTCATCACTTTCCCAGAGTGGGTCTATGATGGGGCACTGGCCAGCTGGGGCACAAAACCTAGAGTTCGGATGAGCACACAGTGTAGAATCACCTGAGAAACACAAGAAGAGATAAACCAACTCCATTATAACACCATGCCACAGATGCTGTCCATATAACAATAATAATAGGTCATTTTATTTACTATATAAATACATGATATTATTTGTTGTTTTTTTAAAGGTTTATATATAAATGTTGCAGACTACAAATATAAGAATATAAATGTTTCTAAGAATTTTTTAGATATTTTGTAAAAATGCGTTTACTAAACAATCTTACCATACTTCCAGGATTTTCCATGCCAGTCTGAGAGTTTGATTCCAGGTGCAGGTGGTTCCAGACCCTCCCACCAAACTCCCCCATCGCTGGTCTCTCCCACGTTAGTGAACACTGTGTTCCTGGAGATGGTTGCCATGGCATGAGGGTTTGTCTTCAGGGACGTCCCGGGGGCAACTCCAAAGAAACCATTCTCTGGATTAATGGCTCTGAGTTTACCTGGTGAAGAGAGTCAAAATACACCACTGTCTCTATTTATAACCATAAACAGCAGTATTCCAATCAACACTATATGGCAAAACTGTTTCTCAGCAACTGTGTGTTTTGTTTACTGAGAGCCATGTACTTATTTCTATTTTAATTAGTTCTCTTTCTGCTGCCCAATAAAAATGCTCAAATAAAAGATATGGTGTCATTTCCTGGCTGCCCATAAACCCACACTTGCCACGCTGTGTCAACAGATGCATATGTTGTCTAGGACCAGTCATATTTCTCACCCTGACTGTCAAATTTCATCCAGGCGATGTCATCGCCCACACACTCAACCGTCCAGCCTGGCAGCGCTGGTTTCATCATGGCCAGGTTAGTTTTCCCACAAGCGCTCGGGAACGCTGCTGCAATGTACCGTTTTACACCCTGAGGATTTGTGATTCCCAGAATCTGGTGGAGAAAGAAACAGTGACGTCTATCAACATTATGTTTTACAAATGATGACTCCAGCTAAAAGAGTAGTACATAAGTACAATGCACTGTTACTTGACCGATATGGCTAATATATAATATATAAGGTAATAGTGTCTCTTTGGTCCTTAGTGACAATCACAGTTTTACTCTCCACACGAGCCACATCTTTGGGGTCAGTACGTGCCAGCCAGCTGCACACAGAAAAGAGTAGAAATTTAAATCAGGATTAAGGCAATGTAAAATCATTCATATTATCATCAGTATTGGTTCAAAAACTAACGATGAGACTTGAAAGAAGCACTTACCAGTTTTCATATTTGCTGAGTTTCTTCACCATGCCCTCTTTCTCCAGGTTGGCCAGGATGTCTGCTGTCTCCTCTGGAGTGCCTGTGACCACGTGTACTTTAGTAGGTTTACATTCAGTCACAGCGCCCGACACAAACTCCGCCACCGACGGGGGCAGAGAGGGGATGGAGGCGAGTGACCGCACACCCACTGAAGCTGTACTGATGGCATTCCGCCTGTATGGACACACACAGACATTAGTACAACAACATACATATATGGTCTGTAAATAGCATGCATCTAGTGCTGTCAAACGATTAATCGCATCCAAAATAAAAGTTTTTGTTTACATAATATATGTGTGTGTACTGTGTATATTTATTATGTATATATAAATACACACACATACAGTATATATATTGAAAATATTTACATGTATATATTTATATGATTTATATTACAGATAAATATATTTAATATATAAACATAACATATTTTTCTTAAATATATACATGTATGTGTGTGTATTTATAAAGATATAATAAATATACACAGTACACACACATATATTATGTAAACAAAAACTTTTGCGATTAATCGCGATACATTTGAGCTTTTAAGTTAGTTATGCATGTAAACATTTTACAAAAATTCACAGACCATACAAACTTAAATTTATCTTATTAATAGTTAGTGTGTTGATATACAGTCCAACAACACAGCTGCTGCGTCCCAATTCGCATACTATCCGTCCTAAATAGTATTCGAAAATAGAATTAGTATGTCCCAATTCATAGTATGTTTAAAAAAGTATGCCAAAGATTCCCGGATGGTCTACTACTTCCGGTTAGAATTCGAAGCGCAGATCCGTGCACACTCTAACGGCTAATATTGCCCACAACACATTGCGCGGTGGACTAGGATTCGATTAGAACTACAAACTAAAAACTGTTAAAAATTACAAACATGGCGATATACGCGACCGACGGACAGGTAGAGAAAGGCATTTGAGTGATAAATAATCAATGTCTAACCTGATGAAAAATATTAATTTAATGTTATCCACGTTATATTTCATCTGCAGCAACACTGTGAACTTTTATAATGATACGTTTTAAATGTAACTTTTAAATGCATCATTATGCAAACATATGAGCAGAGTTCTCGGCATCATAGACCCGCGACTGGCAGATCAACGTGCCTCTTCATTTCTCTCCAATACGGTAGGAAATCAAATTAAACGAAATGTGGATGATGTTAACTGTGACAAGATGATTGGCAGTGCAGTTTAAACAGTCACAGAATGCACGTAACTAAGCAACAGAGCGTCCATTAAAAGCAGCTATGACGAAGTAGTATGTCCCAAAGCTTGCCTACTATTCTTCTACATACTCAAAAGTATGTACTTTTTCATCACAAAAAGAGTACATACTTTTAGGGCATAGTATAAGTAGGCGAATTGGGACGCAACAAGTGACTTCTCACCGTTTGTATCATTCTGGGTATTAGTGGTGGGAATTATTCAGCGATCTCTGTAAAGTAACATCAGTACACCAGCAGGAGGCGACAAGTCACTGTCTTTATGAGTCATTTGAATCATTCACTCAGAAGATTGGTTCAAAACGTTGATTCATTCAGGAACGAAACGACTGAATTCGTTCAAAAACACCCATTCACACGGGAACGAAACACACGGCTCCGTGTGTTGCTCGTAGACGTGCAATGTTTATTCTGCTGTAACGTTCTTTGGAACTAATAGGCTGACCATGCTGCGTCTGTAAGTTACTCAATATTACCTGCTAATTTATTGAACTAAGCTTCAATTATAAACAATAATTGTCTAACATTTAGGCCCCGTCCACATGGAGACGCGTTTAGCTATATACGCATAAATTTTGTATCGTATAGGCGTCTCGTCCACACGGATCCGGCGTTTTGGGAGAGTGAAACCGATATTTTTTGAAACTGGGTCCCAGAGTGGATAAATCTGAAAACGCCGCGCTTGCGTTTTCGTGTGGACAGCGAATCCGTATATTTTCTGAAACAATG